AGACTCGCTTGAGCCCAGGAGTTGGAGGTTGCTGTGAGCTGTGATGCCATGGCACTCTACCCAGGGGGATAGCTTGAGGCTCCGTCTAAAAAAAAAAAAGAAAAGAAAAAGTCTAGCTGCATTGCTCAGGCTGAAGTGCAGTGGCACAGTCATAGCTCACTGCAGTTTGGAACTCCTGGGCTCAACGGATCCTCCTTCCTCAGCCTCTGGAGTACGTAAGAGTACAGGTGTGAGCCACTGTGCCCAGCAATTGTTCTTTAATAACATTTAAAGTTTTATTCAGAAGTTCTCTATGTTGCCTTCAGCTTCCAGTAAGAATGTAGTTTCTAGCCCTGGTTATTTTTGCTTCTTGACTGACTGGTCTGTTCTCTCCAGTCTGAGTTTACTCGGTTTGTCTGATAGTCAAAAGTAGGAGCTAAAGAAGAGAAGGAGTGTGTTTGTTTCCTTCAAAGGCGAACGTGCTGTTCTCAAGTTATGATCATTTCTATGAAACTACCTATATTAAGGAATGAGTAAAATTCCGAGAAACTCCAAAAGAAGAAAAACTTATTTATTCTAGCAGCCCTAGTTTATTGGAGGACCTCTAAACAATTCATAGAGACTTAAAATTTGTTAGGTGTATGTACAAAAATTTGTGAAGACACCTTTCTGAATTACTTATTTAAATCTAACTTTAGGATAATTTATATCCCTCCCCTCAAATAGCATGTGTTCCTCCCAAGTGGGAAAAAAAATGGATAAAATGTATGACTCCTAAGATGATGAATCATTAGCAAGTTATGATAAATTGATTACATTTTTAAGTCAGATTTTTCTTTGTGATATCTCTGAAAACTTACAATCTTGCTACAACTAGTTCTCCTTCGGAGTGTTACATTTTTTAATTTTCCTGGATCCTGACTTTCTTCGTCCTAGTTTGTACTGGTGCTTTTGATAGCATCCAGACACAAGGATGGCCCCACAACAGCAAAGGAGGACGACAGAGGTACAAAGGGCTGCCGGCACCAGCCAGGTCTTTAGAGTCACCGATGCCCCATCAGGTGTCTCGGCTCCATTCACAGACGTGTTGTTTTTGCTGTTGTACCCCTTGGTTTTATTCAGTAATTGTTTGCTACTGTTGAGTTGGGATGGCACAGGCTTCTGAGAAAGTTTTGTGCCTGTGGGCATGAAGAAAGGAGAAACAGTCTTGTTATGCGTTTTGTTGATGACATCAGTGCTTGGTGACATCATATTTACCTTTGTTGTAATGGAGTCATTCAGGTTATTCGGGGCAGTGGAGCTTGCCCAAAAATCTGTGGTTAACTCCTTGGAATAACTGGTATTTTTTGTATTTACAACCAAATCTTCATGTGTGGTTGATGAGGGAGCCTCTATTGACGGTATCACATGGTTTATCACGGTGGTTTGTTGTTGATCTAAATTCATAGCTTTTAGAATCCTTAGTCTGTCCCACATATCAGAAGAAGAGCGGGTATTTAGGAACGCAGAAGGCGATTGTTCAAAAACCAACAAATCTGGATCTATACCTGAAACATAAATAAGGCTTCATTTGCTTTATTTTTTAATCATGAAGAGAAAAATCTTAAAGCATGGTTTGGAGAGTATTTGATTTTGCCATGATGAGTTATTGAACTGAGCTGAATTCAAGTTCTACCACTGCAAACTTCTGCAGGACTTAGAAACAGACTATGTTTGAATTTATCTTAACTTTCTGGGACACTTTCCATTCTGGACAACTTTGGTTCCACTCAGGGAGAAGGGTTTGTCTCTCTGTCAGGGCTCTTGCACAACAATAGAAAGCAGTAGGGTGAGAGCTGCAGAAACATCTGAGGTACAACATCACATTTTTAAATAAAGCTAAACAAAATAGGGCTTGAGAAGGGCATTCAAAATCATGAACAAACATACTCTTGGTTTCTTTTCAGATTGTATAGATCTTTCGCCTTTTACAAAATCACGAACAAAAAACCTTAAATCTCATCCCCTTCCAGGCCCTGAGGGTCCTGGTTTGTCTTTAGCATTTTCTCTTTTCTTATATAAGCCCTTTCCCTTTGACGTCTTTGTCTTTAAAGAGGAAGAAAAAAAAAACTCCCAGCGACTTTACCGGGGTCCCTGCTGGCAGCCCTCTCTCCCTGGGAACATGCCCTCATCCGATGCTCCTGAGGGAATTGCTTCCTTTTTTTCCCCACCACTTGGATCTCATTGCTTTGGCTCTTTCTGGCCTCACCTCCAGCCATCCTCTCCTTGAGATTCTTCTATGACTCCCTGGACCCAGACCTCCACTGCCCCTGGCATTTTACCCCAGATTGCCTGCCTCTCATTTGTTCGTTCTTTTGCTGGTTCTCTCCTTGCTGCTAACTGGTCATGTGGTTTCCACAATCTTCAATCCTATACTTCAGCTGTATTTTCTCTTCACTGCCCACTCCCCTCCAACACACACAAAGAGATTATCCTCATCTGTCACCATGGCACCGTCTGGCACTGACATCCATATCGCCATTTTTTCTCCCTCTTTTTTGGGCTCTGATCTTGTTGCTCTGGTGTTCTACTATTTCCACCTGGACATCTCACATCATCTCCAACTGAATTTGCCCAAGGCCAGAATCATTCTGCCTGGTTCCTGCCTCCTTCACTGGCATCACTATTCTTCTATCCCTGTGCTGGAGTCTGTACTGCCGAGTGATCTGGACTCTGCTTCAGAGACTGATAGAGAAATTTGTCTCCTCTGAATTTTGTTATTTATTTATTTATTTATTTATTTATTTTGAGACAGAGCCTCAAGCTTTCCCCCTGGGTAGAGTGCTGTGGCATCACAGCTCACAGCAACCTCCAACTCCTGGGCTCAAGCGAGTCTCCTGCCTTAGCCTCCCAAGTAGCTGGGACCACAGGTGCCTGCCACAACACCTGGCCATTTTTTGGTTGCAGCCATCATTGTTGTTTCAGCAGGCCCTGGCTGGACCCACCACCTTAGGTGTATATGGCTGGCGCCTTAGCCACTTGAGCCACAGGCGCCGAGCCTCTTTGAATTTTGATGGTGCAGTCTTTGATTGATTGATTACAGCATCTCACTATGTCTCCCTCAGTAGAGTGCTACGGCATCACAGCTCAGCAACCTCAAACTCTGGGGCTTAAGCGATTCTTTTGCCTCAGCCTCCCCAGTAGCTGGGACTACAGGTCCCTGCCACAATGCCCGGCTATTTTTTGGTTGTAGTTGTCAATGCTGTTCAGCAGGCTGGAGCTGGGCTCAAACCTACCAGCTTCGGTGTATGTGATCAGCGCTCCACTCACCGAGCTACGGGTGCCAAGCCAAAGTCTGTTCTTTAATTGTGACGAATTTGCACCATGAGATTACAAGTATGGGTAAAGAACATTTAAATGTATATTTTTCTAAAATATATTGATTATCTCAGGACCAAGTTTCCCTGTTCCTGATACCCCTCTTTGCAGAATACTTGTGTGCAATACCCCTGGCCCTCAAAACTGCCAGTTAGCATTTTACTCCTGCTGGCCCCCTCAGCACTGCAGCAGAAAGGCCGACTGTGGCTCTCGTACTGGGGTTCTTGAGATACCTGAAACACAGTGGGAAAGCCCTTGTTTAGTCCTATGTGATTTCTCACTGGGATGAACTCATTGCTGAGCATGCCAAATGAAAGGGAATTGTCTTTCGGTTTTCTGCCCTAGTTTTCAGAAACTTTTCCAGACAGAGTTCACTGGAAAATAATATTTAGAGGCTTGTATGTGGCTATTGCTGCCAGTTTCCAGGCTATCTGTCTCTACCACCGTCTAACTCACACTCTCAAAAGTCTTTAGACAGCGATCATTACCGTCTGTTATGTTGTACAGAATGGCACTGGTCCCGGGTTCTAAGATGCAGCTCTCCAGTGTTGGGCAGTGGATGTGGAGGCAGTTGACGTTGTCATGAATAGGGTCATGGTAGAAGACAGCCAGGTTACAGGAGACTGAAAGGGAAGCAGGCCAAGTACATCTGCAGATGCTTCTCATTTCCACAAGTGTGATACGCTCTCAGCAACTTCCTACATTCAGACACTTGGCTAGATGTGGGAATTGCTATGGACATGGAAAATGCTTTTCTAAAAGAAAGTATCTACTGAGTTCCTCTAAGTAATCTTTCATACATTCCATTCTTCGCGGGATACCTAGAATTGTTATTTCTTCTCGCTCTTTTTTTTTTTTTGTAGAGACAGAGTCTCACTTTATCACCCTTGGTAGAGTGCTGTGGCGTCACACAGCTCACAGCAACCTCCAACTCCTGAGCATAGGTGATTCTCTTGCCTCAGCCTCCCGAGTAGCTGGGATTATAGGCACCTGCCACAACCCCCGGCTATTTTTGTTGCAGTTTGGCCAGGGTTGGGTTTGAATCTGTCACCCTCGGTATATGGGACCAGTGCCCTACCCACTGAGCCACAGCCATCGCCCTGGAATTGTTATTTCTAGTCCCTACATTTATGGTCATGAAAACCTCAACCGTGGTTTGCTACCCAAACCTCTGGGGATTTATGTATTGGGTCTCTTAGGGCAATGCCCTCTCACAATGCTAAGGGACTGGGATGGCCAGAGAAAGAAATAGGAAGATAAAGGGACAAATGCTGTACCAGAAGAAGAGGTAACAGGAAGGGCAAAGGTAATTCTGGGAGAGGCCCAGGGAGCATCCCCTGCCGCCCTGACTACAGGTGTGCACCTGCCCATGTGCAAAATCTGGTCTGAGGAAAAGCCTAATCAGCATCCCCCAAAGAGACAGGGAGTGGATAGCAAGGACGTTAGCAGGTGGAATTCTAGGGGGCAGGGGGACACAATTGTCTTGTGTTGTCTCCTTTTTCTGAGTAAGTTTGCTATTTAAAGCATGTTCTCTTATTTGTAGAAAACCTGAAGTCAGCTTTGTCAAATGCATGTCTTGGGTCTGTCCTCCCTAAATCGCAACATAAACTTGACTCCTGCAGCAGTGTGGGAGGAGCCATGTGATGTGAAATAGCCGTTGGCCAAAAGGTATCAACTTCTTTAGTAAGCCAAGATTACAGAGGGATAAAGCTTGAGTACCTCAGCATGCCTGAAGCTCTGTGGAATCATTGCTGCTGTGTAGGGGAGTTATATCTCTACCATGACTTCTAGGACATCCTCATGTTTCTGCAAAAAGTCAGTTAGGAATACATTGCTAATACATTAGAGATTATAAATCCATTCCCAGAGGACTATGCTTTACTCCCTGTAAAGTTTAAGGGAAAAGAATTTTTTTTTTTTTTTTTTT